TACGTTGAGGATAAGAATATATGGTACCATGGATGATTCGACAGAAATACAACATTAAGTAGATCATGCGGTTTTACGTTTAATTTACGGTTGGAATCCAAAACTCGTAGTGAGAATCATTCACAAATCTATTATTAGGCAATTAGATATTCAGAGCAGAAAACACATCATTTAAAATTAAAATTACAATAAAGAACTGATAAGATATCAGCGCAGAAATAGATAAATCAACATTTGTTATGAAACACACATCAAAATTTTCGAGCAAAAACGATTTCGCAGATCGGCTCAGCCGGGACTCTTTTCCTCAGAAGAAAATAATTGGCTAGCGCACCGACCGCTGGTGCGAAAATGCGCTTTTTGCATAGTTCCTCGCAGGTTTTTGTCGCTAAAGGCACCGGTTTTTTCAGCAGATGCTTCTAGCTAAACGAATTGAAACTGGCCACCAGAACTGCTAGGAAACATACCCATAAAATTTCAGCCTTCTAGCCTTCCTGGTTCTGCCAGATATTTTCACTGGCTCGTACGTGAGAATCACGCATATCCGGGGGTTGGGTCTGAATTCATTAAGACCTACGTGGACAGGGAAAATCCTGGGAAAATTTTGGTTTTCCAGTTTTTCTGGTTCTCGAGTTAGCAGCTTACCCGCCAAAACTTTGAGGAGCCCGTACGTGGGACCCTTGTGGGTAAGAGTGCCCATTTTGGGGGTGGGAGCCTGTACGTGCATATAGATTAAGTTCCCAAAGTTTCAGCCCTGTGGTCTTTGTAGGCCTCGAGATAAAAAATCGGTACAGACGAACGCACAGACACATACACAGAACAACCCCTCGAAATATGTGTTTTTGCCTTGCATAGATGCAAAAAACGCATAAGAAACCAAACTCATTTTTGTACTAAGCAAAGAAATGATAAGATTTCAGAGTAAAAGCAGGCAAATGAATATTGTCATAAACATACATGAAACTCAAACACATAATTTTTTTTTTTTTTTGGAGGAAAAATGAATTCAGTTCACTAATTGACTCAGCCGACATCCACTTCCCCAAAAAATTAAAAATTTTCGCCCCACAAATGTTGTCGGATGAGATAAGTAATGCCAAGCTAAATTACCAAAAAATATGCAAAAAAAAAAAACTAATTATTACCAGTTCATTGCCAAAAAGTAAGAGAAGTTCAATTTATGATTTCTGGAAGTTTTCAACCGTCAAAATAAGTTGACAGGACTAATTTGAGTGGTCAAAATTAAGGTAAAATAGTAATTTAATGCGTAAAATACCTAGTTTTATCGCTTTCAGTGCTAATTTTGATTTTCAAATTTTATTTTAATTTCAAAAAAAAATTATTTATTTTCAAATTTTTCGCTTTCTCTCTTAAAAATAGGTCAAGGAGGTTAGAATATTTAAGCATTGCCAAAGCAAATTTCACTTAATTTTCCGATCACCACTGAATTCAACTTGCAAATGTCAAACGACAAAATATTATTGTCCGAAAATAATACATCGGGCGGTAAACCGACACCTGATGAAGCTGGCGTAAGCAGAGCATCTCCAATTGCACAAAGTTTGCTCGGATCATCCAGGGTTATTAATTTCTTTTGTAGACGAATCAAAAACTCGAAATCATAGTGCTTTTCTACCTGAAACATGGGAAAAATGAGTAAAAAAGCCGAGATATGCAGCCGAGCTACTACAAATAATAAAGAACAGGCCATGGGGCAGTCTCTGTTTCATCCCTTAGCTGTAAACACGGACAGAAGTGAAGGTGCGAATAGAAGCAGGAATTACCAGCACTGCGTTTATACTAAATAGCCTCCTTTTTCTGAAGTCTGAAAGTTGGTTTTATTGAAAATGTGAATGAAATCTTACCACGGCATCATTCTCAGCACTTGGTGTTGTCGAATTTCCAGTATCCATGCTCATGGTTGTGGTTTTTGAGATATCCGAATCCGAATAATTCGAATCCGCTGATGTAGAAGGCTCGAAATTTGCTATTTCCACTTGCTTCGCTTCCGGTAATACAGCTGTTTTCTGTTCAATGGCTTGTGGTGACACTTTACTTGTGTGCATCGGAGCTGATTTTTGCACCAAATTTACCAAATTGTCAGATGAAGCGGACTGAAAATTATTGAGTAATATATCTAGTTATTAGTAACTGTGAGACTCAATACCGCCAACTGCATTCACATCGCTGTTCCGATTTATAAAATCATGAAATCGTTTTTAATTTAAACAGGCTTATCCACTTATGGTTTTGTTTGTGCTTACAGCTAAGGGATAAAACATAGACTGCTCTACGATT